TTTCAGATTTTTCTGAAAATCTGAAATTTGAGCCTTAGAAGGTTCTAGAATAGTCTAAAAATGGTCGACACACAAATCAAAAGAAGTTGCCACCGAGTGGAATCGAACCCGGATCATCAGATTGCCGGCGAAAATCCCACTGCGCCATCTGGACATTTTTTTGTAAAATCGCTTAAAAATGCTTAAAAATCGATTTTTCGGCGGTTCAAAGTAGTTTTATCTCAGTTTCGGCGGTTTTTTGAGTTGAAAATAGTGATTTTCAAGCCAAAAACTGCGATTTTTCCCCTGAGATTCCGGAATTTTCCGCTCCAAAATCACTCTTACCTTATAGAACAGTTCGTATCCCAAAAATTTGCGAAAATCACTATCCGTCAAATCCAATTGTGCCCAACTGAAATGAATCGAATCGTCACTGACAGCGCCCAGTTTGACCGTAATCAGCGAGGTGGCACAGATCGCCTTATCACCGTTCGAGTTGGGCGATTGGTCATCATCATGGGTTTTATTGATTCCGAGCATTTTTGTGAGATCGGTGATCAGCTCGAAGCACAGCATTCGATTGTTGTGGAACTGCAAAAACAGTGGAATTTGGGGAGGAAGATGGGTCTAAAATCATCTTTTACAGCCAAAAATAGGATGAAAATACTGAAATATCGAGACTTTTTGACATCCCAAAAAGCTTTAAAAGTGTCTAAAACTTCTAAAAACGCTAAAAATCACTTTTAAACCGTCGAAAAAACAAAATTTCAGCGATTTTTAAGCGAATTTTCAAAAAATGACCAAATGGCTTAGTGGGATTTTGGCTAGCAATCTGAGGGTCGGGGTTCGATTCCACTCGGTGGCAAACTTTTTTGATTTTTGTGTAGACCATTTCTAGACTATTTTAGAGCCCTCTAGAGCTGGAATTTCGGAATTTTCGAAAATCTGAAAGTTTCAGAAAAAATTTTTTGGCTTAAATTCCAAATTTGAGTTCTAGGGTGTTTTAGAATAGCTTAAAAATGGTCCACACAAAAATCAAAAAAGTCTGCCACCGAGAGGAATCGAACCCGGGTCGTCAGATCGGGCTGAAAATCCCACTGCGCCATTCGTGTAATTTTTTGAAAAATCGCTCAAAAATCGATTTTTCGGCCATTTTTCCCGCTTTTTCTTATGAGAATATGCATTTAAAGCTATTTTTGACCGTTGTATGCTGTTTGGCGCTGAAATCAGAAAAAAATTAATATCAATTTTTTTGAAAGTTTTCAAAATTTCAGATTTTTCGAAAATCTCGAGTTTTGACATCCTGAACATTCTAGAATAGTTTAAAACTGATTCTCACAAAAATCAAAAACGTTTGCCACCGAGTGGAATAGAACCAGCAACCTCAGATTGCCGGCGATAATCCCACTGAGCCACCTGTGCAATTTTTGTAAAAAACGCTAAAAATCGTATTTTTCAGCGGTTCAAAGTGATTTTTAGCGTTTTCAGGCATTTTTGACACTATTCTCATTGTTTGGAGCGTCGAAAACCGTCATTTTTTGCTCTTTTCTAGGCCAAAATCATATGAGGCGTTTCTAGCTCAATTTTTACCAATTTTTTTCCTCTAAAAAGCTGAAAAACTCACCTGAACAGTGGCATTCTTGTTGCCAAACACAATTTCTCGATTATCCTCAAAAAGCGATCGCATATTGTCATTTTCGACCACTGAAATCGCGAATTTGTTCAAGAATAGCGTGTCGCCTCGAATCAGTTTCAGCCTTTTGAACATTGCCAGTGATAAGAGGGGTGGTGATCGCATGATGTGCAGATACTCCGTGATTGTGTGGATATTCGCAAAGACTTCCTGGAAATCATGAAAATAGTCTAAAAATGGCTGAAACAGTCCAAAATTGGTCCAAATTGGCTGAAAATAAACTGAAAACCGTGAAAATTAGCTTTCAAATCGCTGAAAATGTCCTTGAAACCCTTAAAATCGACACTCCCTGAGAGCCAAAAGCATTCTGCACGCGGCCGGTCGATTTCCGTGCTTGAGCTGTTTTGTACTCCTCGTGGACAAGTGAGCGTGCGAAATTTGAATTTTTGGGTTTCAAATAGCGCCTAGATTATTTTTCTGGATTTTTGGACCATTTTCAAGCCATTTAGGACCATTTTCTGCCAGTTTTGGTCCATTTCAAGCCCTTACCTTCAACTCAGCGGCCATTCCCGACTCCTGTTTGCCACGAATCTCAATCGTCAGATTTCCCTTGATGATGTTGCATCGTCGAAGAGCCAACGCCTTGGGAAATGTGTCGATTTTGTGGTCAATGGTGCAGGTGATCTCACACGGTCCATCGCATTTCTTACAGAACCGTATATCCTGGAAATTGAAAGAAAAATTAGATTTCAAAACACTTAAACAGCTTAATTAGTGTCAAAAATAGCTTGAAATGCATATTTCCACAGAAAAAAAACGCAAAAAATGGGCGAAAAATCGATTTTTAAGCGATTTTCCTAAAAAATGCACGAATGGCTCAGTGGGGTTTTCGCCGGCAATCTCAACACCCGGGTTCGATTCCACTTGGTGGCAATCTCTTTTGATTTTTGTTTTGAGCATTTTTAGATTATTCTATAGTATTCTAGAGCTCAAGTTTTGGGAATTTTGAAAAATCTGGAAATTTCAGAAAAAAAAAATTTTTCTGAAAATTTCCAAAATTCTAAAATTAGAGCTCTAGGATGTTCTAGAATAGTTTAAAAATGATCCACACAAAAAACAAAAAAGATTGCCACCGAGTGGAATCGAACCCGGGTGTTGAGATTGCTAGCGAAAACCCCACTGAGCCACACCGTGCATTTTTAGGAAAAACGCTCAAAAACACTGGAAACGTCGATTTTCAAAGAAGTTTTCTGTTGGATTTAGTATTTGTAGCAAGATTCCAGCAATTTTCAACAAAAAACCGAGAAAAATCTAAAAATTTTTTTTTTTGAAAAACTTCAAAATTTGGATTTTTGCTGAAAACTCAAAATTAGAGCTCTAGGATGTTCTAGAATAGTCTAAAAATGATTCTCACGAAAATCTAAAAAGTTTGCCACCGAGTGGAATCGAACCCCGACCCTCAGATTGCTAGCCAAAATCCCACTGAGCCATTTGGTCATTTTTTGAAAATTCGCTTAAAAATCGTATTTTTCAGCGTTTTAGAGTAATTTTTCGAGTTTTGAGCTATTTTTGGGGTCAAAAACAGCATTTTTCTAGTCAATTTCACCGATTTTTCATCAATTTACCGTACCTTCTTATTAATCTCCCAACCCTCGGGACACTTGTCGGAACACAGGCCATCCGTCGCTTTGATATGTTGAAAGATGTTCTTCTGTTTCGGATTCAGTGCCAGACACTCGGCCTTCGTGACACACCGTCGTCCCATCAGCACGTACATGTTCTTGGGGCATTTGGCAACACATTTTCCGTTATAGTGTAGATGACGGCATGCCGAGCATTGCGTGTCGTCGTTCGGAGCATCACAGCCACCCAGACATTGCTCATGACATCGTTCTCCTGGAAATTAACGATTTTAAGAAAAAAGTCCAAAAGAAATTTTTTTTCCAAAAATTTTTTTGTCTGAAATTTTCAGATTTTTCTGAAATCTCAAAATGTCAGCTCTAGAGAAGTCTGAAATTGTCTAAAAATGATCTTCACAGAAATCAAAAGAGTTTGACACCGAGTGGAATCGAACCCGGGTGTTCAGATTGGTAGCGAAAATTCCACTGCGCCATCTGTGCATTTTTCGGAAAAATCTTCAAAAATGCAGGAAAATTCGATTTTCAAAGGAATTTATCATCATATTTGGTGTTTTCAACTAATTTCTAGCAATTTTCAACAAAAAATGGCAAAAATTGAAAAAAAATTTTTTTTGAAATTTTCAGATTTTTCTGAAAATCCAAAATTTCAGCTCTAGAGTACTCTAGAATAGTCTAAAAATGGTCTACACAAAAATCAAAAGAAATTGGAATCGAACCCGGGTGTTGAGATTGGTAGCGAAAATGGTGGAAAAATCCACTGAGCCATTCGGTCATTTTTTGTAAAATCGCTTAAAATTCGTTTTTTTCGGCGGGTACAAAGTGATTTTTATCGTTTTTAACACTAATTTTGCTGTTTAGAGGCTGAAAATCGGAGTTTTGATGTCAGAAATTGTATTTTTGCAACTTTAACCGCTCAAAATTCGCTGAAACCCCTGCTGTACCTTCTGGCGAACATCCGGGACCCATCGTTCCGTTATCAAACCGTTCGTAGGGACATTTCCGACGGCACGCCGTGTCACTCCAACAACTTTGCACTTGTTTACCTTCGGGCGTCATGTACTCACGACACCGATCCTTGTAGTTTGGTTCCGTGTCGCATGTTTTGGGGCATACTGTAATTTGTTTTTTTTTAAAGGCACAGAGGCTTGAAAACTTTTTTATGAAAGAAAATATGCCAAAAAAATGTTTTCCATGCATTTTTCATAAAAATGTTTGAATTTGACTGTGAATCTAGCGAGTTTCGCTATGAAAATCGTTATTTTCGACACTGAAGGCAGTTGAAAATCCAAAAAACCATTCAAAACCCGCTGAAAAATGCATTTTTTGCCATTTTTGGGTGATTTTACATAAAATGCACAGATGGCTCAGTGGGATTTTCGCTGAGAATCTGACGACCCGGGTTCGATTCCTCTCGGTGTCAATTTTTTTTTATTTTTGTGTAGACCAGTTTTAGACTATTCCAGATTTCTCTAGAGCTCGAATTTTCAGAATTTCAAAAAAAAAATTTTTTTTTCAAAAAAATTTTTTTCTGAAAATTTTAGATTTTTCTGAAAATCATGAAATTAGAGCTCTACGATGTTCTAGAATAGTCTAAAAATGGTCTACACAAAAATCAAAAAAGTTTGCCACCGAGTGGAAACGAACCCGGGCCGTCAGATTGGTAGCCGAAAATCCCACTGAGCCACTTTGTCAAAATCGCCAAAAATCGCCAAAAATCGTATTTTTCAGCGGTTCAAAGTGCTTTTTAGCCATTCTTTAGCCAATTTTTAGGTCTAAAAACCAATTTTTAGGTCTAAATGTTTGAAGGCCCAAAAAGTGTCCACAAACCTTTTCCAGTCTCCGTCACCGACCACTCGGCGGCGTCGTCGACGACGACGTCGTTGATCGGAGACTGAATCAGACTCTTCCAATCGATCGAGGTGACGTGGCAACAGTACTTGTTGTCCTGCACCCGGATGCCACCGTTTCGAACCACACTCAACTTGGGTAGATTGATCTGGAAGCAGCAATTTTGGATTTTGTACTCCTCGTGGACAAGTGGGAGGCGCGAAATTTGAATTTTCGGGCCATTTTCCATGATTTATGACCCATTTTAGCCTATTTTCGGCCGATTTTCCCGTTTTTTCAGCTGATTGCTCATGCTTACCGCTTCCAACTGATGATTCCTATAGATTATGAGTGCAAAGTGTTGTACGAGCGTTTGTCCACCGATCACACGAAGCTGCGGGAACATTTTGCCGAGATCAACGAGTCCTCTGAAATTATCGATTTTATGGCGATTTCGGGGCTGCTTTTGGACGAAAAAATCGCAAAAATTCTGGATTTTTAGCTAATTTTAAGCCAAAATTGCTCGTTTTTGGCTCATTTTGGCTGAAAAAAGGCAAAAAATCGAGTTTCTTAATTTTATATTTTTTAATAAATAACGTTTTTAGAGATTGAAACTTGAAAAAAAACTTGAAAAAAATTTTTGCGTAAATTTTTTGTCTGAAATTTTCAGATTTTTCTGAAATTTCAAAATTTGAGCGATAAAAATGTTCTAAAATAGTTTAACAATGGTCTACACAAAAAACAAAAAGGTTTTCCGCCGAGTGGAATCGAACCCGTACCCTCAGATTGCCGGCGAAAACCCCACTGAGCCACACCGTGCATTTTTAGGAAAAACGCTCAAAAACACTGGAAACGTCGATTTTCAAGGGAGTTTTCTCTTGGATTTAGTATTTGTAGAAAAATTCCAGCAATTTTCAACAAAAAACCAAAAAAAAATCTTTTAAAAAAATTTTTTTTGAAAAATTTCTAAATTTGGATTTTTGCTGAAAACTCAAAATTCGAGCTCTAGAACATCCTAGAATAGTCTAAAAGTGGTCCACACAAAAATCTAAAAAGTTTGCCACCGAGTGGAATCGAACCCCGACCTTCAGATTGCTAGCCAAAATCCCACTGAGCCATTTGGTCATTTTTCAGAAAATGTCTCAAAAATCGCTAAAAATTTGGTTTTTCCGGCGGTTTCAAATGATATTTGACGCATTTTCAGATATTTTCGAGCCATTGTTAGGGTCAAAAATTTCCAAAGAAAAAACAATTTTTTTGGAAATTTTTTCCCCAAAATCTGAAATTTCAATTTTCAGACGTTTCCAGAACATTCTATAGCCTGGAAATGGCTCAAAACAAAAGCAAAAAGATATTGACCCCAGCGGGGATCGAACCTGGGTGTTGAGATTCGTGGCGAAAATCCCACTGAGCCACTTTTCACAATTTTTTGAAAAACGCTTTAAAATCGACTTTTGGGTGGTTTTTCTTGAATTTTTGTGTTTTTTAGGTCAAAATTGCTCATTTTTGGCCGTTTTTTAAACCATTTTTGCTCAAAAAATCTTTAAAAACTCGACTAACTTGGTCTCAAAAACCAGAAAAGTGCCAGTGACTTCTCGCAAATTGGGAAAAATCGGATAATCCGATTGTTCCAAATTTTTCATCTCTCTGGGGTCATTGCTGTGTCCCCCGCCATAGATGAATGATAGTGATAGTGAGCCTTCGATTACTGTACAATTGATCATATGGTTGACTGGTGGCCAGCTGAAAAAAAAAGATAGGTAGATAGTTACAGTAATCCGTTTTGTGACAAAAATAGACGGAAAATGACCATTTTTGGGCTGAAAATCGTTATTTTTCGCTGAAAATAGCCAAATTTTAGGCTAATAAAATAGCTAAATTTAGGCTGAAAATAGCCGATTTTTGAGTGAAAATGAGCAAGTTTCAGCTTAAATTGCAGTTTTTTAGCCCGAAAATGGTCAATTTCAGGCTGAAAATAGTCATTTTTCACTCCAAAATGTTGAAATTATGGCTGAAAATGACGGATTTCAGCTTGAAATGTTCAAATTTCCACTTTTTTTATTCGATTTTGAGCCATTTTAAGCCATTTTCAGTCAATTTCAGCTATTTTAAACCGATTTTCAGCCGATTTTCAGCCGATTTTAGGCCGTTTACGGTCAATTTTCAGTCATTTTCAGCCAAAATTCCAGCACTCACGACGCATTATTCGAACGATCATAGAAATAGTTGATCTGGTCCTTATCACCAATCAGTGATGGCCGAGTCTTGATGCCCCACGGCTTGTTTCGGATATCGATTGGCGGGCAGCGGATCTCTCGAATCGATGAGCATGGCTGCAAAATTTCCGCTTTTTTTGGAAAAAAGGGTTTTCGGTCAAAATGGATCATTTTAAGCCAGAAAAACCCGCGATTTTTGGCTTTTCATGGCCTAGAAAACCTTGAAATTGGGCCAAAAATCAATTTTCTAGGCCATTTCGCCCCCAAAAAAACCCATTTTTACCTGAAAAATGGCACATAAGCTGAGCAATAGGAAGATAATTGAAGCGGTTCGACGACACAACGATGATAATGATGTTGTTGGTGCTGATGATGACGTGGAACATTCAGAAGACGTCGAAATCTGAAAAAAAAAGGAGTTTAGGGTTAATTTAAGCGATTTTAGGGCAATTTTCAGTCACTTTTATGCTGTTTTAAGCTATTTTAATCCTAATTTATGCCATTTTTATGCTATTTTAAGCCAATTTAGGCTATTTAAAATTGATTTTATGCTATTTCCAGTTATTTTTTCAGACTATTTTCAGCCATGTTTATGCTATTTTCCCCGATTTTTAGCCATTTTCAGCCATTTTTATGCTATTTCTTGATATTTTTAGCTAATTTTCAGCATTTTGAAGGTTATCTTAAGCTATTTTCAGTCATTTTTATGCTATTTCAAGCTATTTTAATCCTATTTTAAGCCATTGTTATGCTATTTTTAGTCATTTTCAGCCCCCCTTACCATAGTTCTACGTCGCGTTCTGTGACTACTGCTGTCTCGTCGACGTCGCATTTTGTGGATTCTGAATTCCGAAACGTCGTCAACGTTGTCTTCGTTGTTGATGACGTGACTGTAGTAGCGATACTGAATGATATCGACGTCGTTAGAGGAGGTGATTGTGCTGAAAATCGAATTTTGATGATTTTGAGATTTTTAGGGGTATTTTCAGCAAAATTTCAGCAAAATTTCAGCCAAAAGTTTCAGCTAGTTTTCCGTGAAATTTCAGAGAATTTTCAGCCTAATTTTCGTGAAAATTGAGCGGATTTTTAGACAAAAATTCAGCCTACTTTTCAGCCTAATCTACAAAATTTTCAGTCAAAATTTCAGCGAATTTACGCAATTTTTAGAGAATTTATAGGCAAAATTTAAAGGGAGCATTTTCAGCTAAATTTTAAGCCAATTTTAAGCCAAAACTTCCGAGAATTTTCAGACAAATTTTAGAGAGAATCTTTAGCCAAACTTTGTGCCAACTAGCTTAATTTTCAGCTTAATTTTTAGCTTAATTTTCAGCCTAATCTCTAGACGAATTTCAAGTCGAGTTTCAGACAAATTTTTTTTTTACAAAATTTTCAGTCAAAATTTCAGCCCAATTCCCGCCTAATTTTCAGTGAATTCTCAGCGAATTTTAGGAAGCATTTTCAGCCAAAAATTTCAGCCGAATTTTAAGCAAAATTTTCAGTCAAAATTTCAGCCGAATTTTCCGCCTAACTTTCAGAGAAATTTCAGAGATTTTTTTGGGCCAAAAATTCCGCGCTAATTTTAAGCTAAATTTTAAACCTTAAGTTTTCCAGACAAATTCTCCGAGAATTTTGCAGCTAAATTCTTTTCTGATTTTCAGCCAGCCCCAAATTTTCAGCGAATTTCAAAGGGAGCATTTTCGTTATTTTCAGGTCAATTTTCAGCAAAATTTTTAGTAATTAAATGGAAAAAAAATGGCCTGGCATTATTAAAAATCAACTTGAAAATCATAAAACAGAAAGAGAGAGAGAGAGAGAGAGAGAGAGAGAGAGAGAGAGAGAGAGAGACGCAGAGAAAAGGCTCAAAAGCGCGAAAACAACAAGAACGCATACACACAACAACACAGGAGCCGCCTTGACGTCTTCAGGCAAAGGTGACGGCGTCCAGGCGCCGCCACCGGTGTGTTTATGTGAGGAATGACGGGTGAAAAGGAAAACTAGAAGAAGAAGAAGAAGACCAGCTAGCGAGCAGTAAGGGGAGAGGGGGGAATTAGAAATGAAACAGGAGCAAGAGAAGGACCCGAGAAGTCCGGAAAGTCCGAAAACTACCGTAATCTAGCCTAGCTAGTAACTAGGTACGTTAGCTAGGTAGCTGCGTAGCTACCGTATCTAGCATCCTTTGAAGCTAGTAAACAATCTAGTGCTAGGCCTTCTAGACGCATATGCCAGTGTTGGTACTACCGTAACCAAGCCTAGCTTCCTAGCTACCGTATCCAACTGCTCTCTAACAAGCTCTAGACATCTCCAAGGATCCTCTAGAACTTTCTAGATCTTCACCAGCTGGTAGCGGTATTCCTATTCCAGCTGTTGCTCGCCCATCCATAAACAGAGAAACTAAATCTTCATAGGCTGGAAATTTCTAGTCATATCAAATGTGTGAGAGAGCTACTCTCCTTGCTCCTAATCTCCTCAATATCAGCCAACCAACATCAATAGAAGAGAAGCCTATCAAAAAAAAAATGAAGGGCGAGATGTGGGAAATGAGAAAACAACCAAAGTTAATCCTTGAGAAATTCCGTTTTTCAGCGAAGAATCGATCAATAACCTTTTAAAGAAAATCCTTCTTCTGAAAAGGAGGGATACATATCAGGTGTGTATGTGTGCCAGGGGTGGTGTCCGTCAAAATTGAATCAAATTTCCGGTAGGACACTTTTCGGATAAATATATATGAAATCTGATGTCATTCGGAAGCCTAGGCTGTTTCAAGAAGAGCCTATGGATCCAGGAATCTAAGGATCTAAGAGTCTAAGAATCCAGGAATCCAGGATTCTAGCGTCTTCAGATTCAAATGGAAAAATGAACTTGGGGGGAATCTCACAGAGCTTATCCTTCTGAAGGCGACCGTGTAGCTCAGCCTCTGGAGCCAACTTTAAAGGTCATTGGGAGTACCACAACCTTCAAAGCTCTATAGAATCCGCAAAACAACGGGCAAGCAGGTAGGAGTACCTATCCAGTAAGATCCTCTGGCTTCAGGTTCTTGGTCATAACCTATAGACTTTAACTTATTGGCTTCAGGCTCTAGGCTCTAGGTTCTAGGCACTAAGCTCTTGGCTTCAAGCTTCAAGCTTCAACCTCTAATAGTAAGCTCTGAGGGTCCCAGGGCCCTCTGGTTCCTGGCTCTGGTCTCTTAGAACTCTAGAATCCAGGTTTCTCTGCTAATAAGTCAGAAAAACGGGGGGAAAAAAGGAGGCGCAAATCTCCTTTTTCTTCGGAACATAAAATAAATTATTATGCTCTCTTCTCTATCCTCTGTGTCACATACACATACATATTCCAAAGAGTTTATAGAGAGAGAGAAAAATCTGAAAAATAGAAGAGAGCCAGGAAAAAGGAATGATGATGATGCTCATCACATTAATCCTCCTTGTCAGCAGCTCCTGCGATGGCAAATTGAGAGAGAGAAATAGTGTGGAATATCGAGAGAGAGAGTGGTTAGACATAGATTCGTTCAAAAACAGATTAACTTAATCACCAGAAAATTTTATCGAAAAAAATAATGGATCCAAAACTACAAATTAGCTTCGTTTCTGGCTGAAAATCGTCATTTTAAGCTCAAAAATCACTTTAAATTGCTCGAAAAATCCAAAAAAAAAAAATTTTATAATAACATTCATCAGATTCTGTATGTATGTAGCGCACCTTATCACCCATTCAAAGTTAACCGATCAAGCTGAAGCCTGGACAGATAGATCAGAATTGTGTCTTAGTTGATGCCCGAACTTTTGGTTTTTCGAAATTTTGATTTTGAACTCTTCTGGAGACGTTCCTTGGTTTCACCTGTCAGTAAAGGGTGGATGGTGGATAGCCCCGAAGGGGCCTAAACCGACTGGTATGCAATACTTACCAATTTCTTCTCGATGATTCTTCCAGATGTGATGAAGACGTGGATGGGAGGAGGGAATCTGAAACACTTTGACGTGTCCATTTTTAGCCATTTTAGCCTAATTTAGACCCATTTTGGACCCAATTAATTTTAGTCCATTTTTAAACGATTCACTCAGATTCGATTTTAGACTATTATTGAACAATTTCCAGCCAATTATTTTCTCATTATTATTTTTTTTTTTTCGAATTTCTAAGATTCTGATTGACGTCAACAATGAGAAGAAGAAGAAGAAGAAGAAGAAGCCCTTTTACTTCTTTTCAACCCCCAGAGGTGAGCAAAAAAGGAGAAGAAGAAGAAGAAGAAGAGGGGCATTAGGCTAATCAACATGTATCTAGAACATGTACATATCCTTTTTCTATGATTTTGAATTTAAAAAAATGTTTGAAGAGCAAAAGGAAAAAAGGGCACAAACTACAATCGGGAAAAATTTGGCTGAAAATGGTGTCCATTGGATTTGATCGAAAAGCTACAGTAATCCAACAAACGATTTGCTCATTCTTCCATAATCGCCTGCTACAACAATCTTGTTTGCCTATATGTCACCGTGCTTCCAATCCTACAGTAATCCTAAAGTAGAACCAGAACCACCTAAAACAACCAAAATAACCACTTCAAAACTACAGTAATCCATGAGTTAACTAACCTACAGTAGTCCTACAGTAGTTCTACAGTAACCCGGAAAACTTCTAAACGCGCTAAACTCCTCAAAAATAGAATAAAAATGAAAGAAAAACGATTTTCAGTCCCAAATGGATTAGTCCAAAATATATATATGTACTTTTGACTTAAAAGTGCAACTATACAAAGAAAAAAAAAAAAGAAATGAGCAATCAGGCAACCAAAAAAAAATCTAAATTTGGAATATTCTGGAATTTCCTCTTTTTTATCAGGGGATTATAGGAAAAAATACGAAGATTAGGGCCATAAATCTGTCAGGGATTACTGTAGTTTGACAAGGACGATTACTGTAGTTATAGGGAATGTTGATAACTAGAGCTTTAGAAGGATTACTGTAGTTATAGAGTACTGCTAGGATGATTTTACTGTAGGTCAAGAGGGATGAGCACTAGGGTTACTGTAGTTCTTAAAATACTGTAGGTGAAGAAAGATGAGCAATCTATAGATTACTATCGGGGATTACTGTAGTTATAGAGTACTGTGAGGATGAGCAATGGAGATTACAGTAGCTCTATGAGGAGTACTCTAGCTATAGAGTACTGATAGAATGAGCAATCGGATTACTGTAGATGAAGAGCGATAAGAAATATTTGGATTAATGTAGCTTTAGAGTACTGTTAGTATGAGCAACGTTTGGGTTACTGTAGTTTTACGGGTACTGTAGCTATGGGAATGGTTACAGTACTACACATCAAAATGAGCAATCTATGGATTACTGTATGTAGCTTCTCGGGCGATTACTGTAGTTTGGGATTTTTCACCATTTTCCGGTGACATTTTGATCGTGGCCTAACTTTTTCAGGCATGTCCTAGAAATCCAAATTTGCTCCAAAACTAGTCCCCCGGGGTCAGAATTTTATGAAAATCTTGATTTTGATAGTTTAAAATGCTGAAAATGAGTTTTAGTCGCTGTAAAACGACTTTTTTTGAGTGTTGGCCTAGAAATCCAAATAGCTCCAAAATTAGTCCCCCCTGAGGTCAGAATTTTATGGAAAATTCATTTTTCGCTTTGAAAACTAGCCTAGAATAATTTTTAATGCTCAAAATTTCGATTTTTTTTCAAAAGAAAATATTCTCACCTTCCACGTCATCTGAATCTGATGACGACGTCGTCGCTCCAGAATCCTTCAGAATTGTTTTGTGACGTCGTCTTGATCTGACCATATATTTGTTGCTTCCTGTCATCGTCGTATCATTTATTGAGCAATGCTTTTTTTATTGATTTCCTGGGGGGAAAATTCAGAATTCCAAAATTCAGAATTTCGTTTCAGATGACGTCAGATTTCTGCAAAAACAAAAAAAAAATTAAAATATGGAAATGTTTTTAATCCGATTAGATTTTTAGAGACAAAAATGTGAGAAAAATGGAAAAAAATCGACAAAAAACGGGAGAAAAAGAGAGATTTTTCGAGGTGGCCTAACTTTTGCGAAATGGTGGCCTAGAAAACCAAAAACCCCTAAAATCCCATATTTCTAGAGAAGAATTTTTAAGGAAAACTCGATTTTCAAGGTTTCCGACCCCTAAAACGACCGCTTTCATTGAAAAAACCGACGAAAACGGCTCAAAACCAAGCAATTTAGAGTGGTGGCCTAACTTTTGCAAACTGGTGGCCTAGAAAACCAAATCTAGTCCATTTAGACTAGAATTTTTAAAGAAACACAAATTCGACGCATATAATGCTGAAACGACGAGAAAAAACGGAGCAAAACAGCTCAAAACCAAGCAATTTCGAGTGGTGACCTAACTTTTGGAGATTCATGGCCTAGAAAACCAAACCTAGTCCCTCTAGGACAGAATTTTATGGAGAACACGACTTCAATACTAAAAATGCTGAAAAAAACTATGGAAAACTCTCTAAAACGGAGGAAATACCGCTTGAAATTAAGTGATTGAGAGTGGTGGCCTAGGAAAACAAACTAGTCCATCTAGGACAGAATTTTATGGAGAACACTATTTCGATGTTTAAAATGCTGAAAAAACTATGAAAAACGGTCTAAAACGGAGGAAAAACAGCTCAAAATCAAATGATTCAAAGTGATGGCCTAACTCTTTCCAACCGATGACCTAGGAAACCAAACTAGTCCACTAAGGCATAAATTTTGTGGGAAACACGATTCTAACACTCGAATTGCTAAAAAAGAAGAAAAAACGCTCTAAAATAGCTCAAAATCAAGCAATTTAGAGTGGTGGCCTAACTTTTGCATATCGGTGGCCTAGAAAGCCAAATCTAGTCTAATTAGACCAAAAAATCGTAGGAAACGTGATTTTGATGCTTAAAATAGTAAAAACCCCAGAAAAAATCAAGAAAATCGGCTTAAAACGTAGAAATTCAGAGTGGTGGCCTAACTTTTGCAGATTCATGGCCTAGAAAACCAAAATCCCCTGAAATCCCATATTTCTAGGGAAGAATTTCATGAGAAACTTGATTTTTAAGGTCTCCGGCTCTGTAAATAGCCTTTTCCGTCTGAAATTCTGTTGAAAACAAGATGTCACCGAATGTGGCCTAACTTTCACAGACTGGTGGCCTAGAAAACCAAAAAACCTCTAAAACCCGAATTTCTAGGGTAGAATTTCATGCGAAACTCGATTTTTGAGGTCCCAGACCTTTAGAACGACTCGTTCATTGGAAAAACCGCCAAAAACAAGAATTCACTTAGTGTGGCCTAACTTTCCTCTCTGATGGCCTAGAAAACTCAATTTTTCGAAGAAAAAAATTGCAGAAAATTTACTTCCTCATCATCACACTATGGAAAAATGCATTCGTATTCTAATCGCTCGCTTTTATCAATATAAAAATTATCACCCAAAGTGCGTTTTATTTTTCTTATCAATTTCTTATCACATGATACACCTATATATCTACATTCATAAATTATACATCAGATATCCTCTTCTATCATCTTCTTTTTCCATTTTTTTCGTTTTCCGGGCACAAGGAACACTCAAAAACCCAGGAAAACGCTTAGTAAATCGAATATGGCCTAGAAACCCAAATGTTGGTGGCCTAGGTATCCAAAACTCGGTCGTTCAAAATAATGTGAAAAACTCATTAAAATCATCAAAAATTCAAAAAAGTATATCGAAAACGCTCAAAAACGACTAAAACCCAGCATTTTAGAGTGGTGGCCTAGAAACCCCAAATTAGGTGGCCTAGGAATCCAAAACTAGGTCATCTAGTTTGAAATAATGTTAAAAAATTTTTGGAATAATTTAAATCCCAAAAAATCACATTGAAAACGCTCAAAAACGACTAAAACCCAGCATTTTAGAGTGGTGGCCTAGAAACCCAAATGTTGGTGGCCTAGAAACCCAAATGTTGGTGGCCTAGGAATCCAGAACTAGTCCCTAGGGTTAGTTTTTCGAGCTGAAGACACCAAACTAGCTTTCGAAAAACTCAATAAATCACTTAAAACCTGTGATTTTTAGCTAGATTCCGAACGCGGCCTAGCTTTCTCCAGTCGGTGGCCTAGAAACCCAAACCAGCTGGCCTAGGAATCCAAAACTAGCCTTCTAGACCAGATTTTTGTGCTAAACACGACTTTCAACATTTCAGAGCCTCAAAACAAACGCAAACTCTTCAAAATCGCCTATTTCCGACTAGCTGCTTTTGGTGGCCTAGAAACCTAAATCCGATGGCCTAGGATTCCAAAACCAACTTTCTAGATCAGATTCTTATGCTAGACATGAATCTGACCATTAGAACTCCTCGAAATGCATCTAACCCCATGGAAACAGCTAGCAACTTTCCTTCCATGGCCTAGCTTTCCCAAATGGTGGCCTAGGAAACCCCCAAAAGTGCCGTATGCACTATATTGCACATGCAAAACACGCCTGACTCATTCATTCATAGCTCAGAGCTCTAAAAAACGTGTGTGGAGACAGCAGGGTAGTCCATTCCACACCACGAACAAAACAAACGGCGAGAGAGTGAGAGAGTGTTGGAAACGAAGAGACGCAGAGAGACACAAGAGAAAAGAGAGGAGGAAATGGACGAAAACAACACAAAGTGCATGTTCCCTTTTGCCCCTGGCACCGCTGGGAAACATGGTGCCAGCATGCAGTTTAGGAGAACGATTTATGGGATGGGGGGATGGTCTTTCTTTGAAAAAGATAGGAAAAAAGGGGCGGAGCCTAATTAGTGGTGGCCTAGGAAACCCAAAACTAGTCCACAAAAACTGAAATTTGATGGAAAACTTAGTCATTTAACTTAAACCTCAAAAAAGTACCATTAAAACTAACAAAAACGACTGAAAACCAGCATTTTTAAGTCGTGGCCGAGAAACCCAATTTTTGATGGCCTAGGAATCTGAAACTAGTCCATCTAGTGTAAAATGCTGTGGGAAACCCATTCCAATCATTAAAACTCCAAGACACTATGTCAGAACGGTCAAAAACGACTGAAAACCAGCATTTTTAAGTGATGGCCGAGAAACCCAAATTTTGGTGGCCTAGGAATCCAAAACTAGTCCGTCTAGTTTAAAATATAATAAAAAATTCATTCCAAGCATTTAAATTCCTAAAATTACATTGTAAACGTTCAAAAATGACTGAAAACCAGCATTTTAGAGTGATGGCCTAGTAACCTAATTCTTCGTGGCCTAGAAATCCAAAACTCGGTTATCTAGTTTGAAATAATGTGAAAAACTCATTAAAATCATCAACAATTCAAAAAAGTATATCGAAAACGCTCATAAACGACCTGAAACCAGCATTTTAGAGTGGTGGCCTAGAAACCCCAAATTAGGTGGCCTAGGAATCCAAAACTTGTCTAGTGGACTAGTTTTTTGTGCTAAACACGATTTTGAAAACCAAATCGACATTTAAAATTATGAAAAACGCTTGAAATCAGTGATTTTCAGATAGATTTCGAACGCGGACTAACTTTTTCCAAGTGGTGGCCTAGGAATCCAAATTGATCTCAAATCTCAAAGAAAAAAGCATTCTAGACCAGATTTTTGTGCTAAACACGATTTTCAACATTTCAAAGCCTTAAAACGCTTTCAAACTCTTCAAAACTGCCTTTTTCCCGGCTCGCTGATTCTAGTAGCTTGAGGTGGCCGAGAAACCCAAACCAGCTGGCCTAGGATTCCGAAACTAGCTTCCTGGACCAGATTTTCATGCTAGACACGATTTTGCCTATCAAAACGCTGGAAACCTAATCGGAAACCCTATAAAACGGCTGAATTTCTTAGATGGCCTAGCTTTCCAAATGGTGGCCTAGAAATCCAAAAATGTGCCAAATTCGATAAAATTGACGAAAAATTATATATTTTTTGTGTGTCAGAAACAAGAAAACAAGGTGAAAACACACAAAACTTCCGCTTGACTGGAAAATTACCAATTTCTCAAATTTTGGAAAATTCAGAAAAATCCAAAAATTCTGAAAACTTTTCTAGAAAATTCTAGAATTCTAGCCAAAAAAATATATAAGAATATTGTTTTCTAGAGGTGCTGTTTTCTCCTATATTTTCAGTCAGATCTCATTAGTGAGTGAAAATAAGCGAGAGAGAGAGAGAGAGAGAGAGAGAGAGAGAGAGACGCAGAGAAATTAGAGCAAAAAAAAACTTTTTCTAGCTATAAACAAGAAAGAAAATAGTCATAGAGAAACGATGTGAGCAGCTGGAAATTCCGAAATTTTGGACATCTGGACAAACAGACAGACCTTCTAGATCCTTATTTTGGACCAATTTAGCGTGTTTTTAACCAATTGGAAATGCTAGTGGACATCTGGACATTGGGATGCACATATAGCGGCAGATTTGATCTAGAAAAGCCTTGGGCATACGGTCAGTCAGAAATCTATTCTGCGGAAAGTTCCAGTTCATATACAGATGAGCTAAAGGACATCTGGACATCCGGACCCAAAAAAATCCACTAGCCGAGACATCTTGTCTGTCTCCAGGAGGACATCCGGACATTCGGATGTCCTTCTGACCATTTCGGACAACCTAGCGGACATCTGGACCCACAGACAGGCCTTCTGGATACTAATAGATCCTTCTGGATCCTCCTGATTCCTTCTAGATCTTTCTAGATCCGCCTGGATCCTTCTAGATCCTTTTAGATCATTTTGGACCGCCTATAAGCTAGCTTATAGCTCGAAAACTGACGATTTTAAGCCTAAAAATGGGCCAAAAATCCAAAAAAATAGATATAGTTGAGA